TGGGGAGCTTAAGGAAAATAAGGATGCTGGGACCCCACTGACAGATTCTAATTTGGGAGATCACAGGGGTTTTAATGTGCATTCAAGTCTGGGGCCCACCATCCCTGCCTTTCTTTCCCCACCAGGTTAACCTGCTTCCAAGTTGGTGCTCTAGCTTCCAGGCCTGGCCTGAAGTGAACAAATACCAGCTTGGCAATCACAGCCCTACAGGAACAGTATTACGGTACAGTAACAGCAACAATAAGGAGCAAAGGAAGCCAAACTTGACCATGAATCCTTTGCCATTTCCTCCCTTTTCACTGCCCCACTGGCTGTGAGCTTGCCATAGAGGTCCCATAGGTCTAGAAGGCTGCTCAGCTACAGCCAGGCTCTGCTGAGAAAAGGCTGAGAGAAGACTGGGGTGGGGGTGGGGGTTAGTGTACTAGACAGTAGCCAAAAAGCTACTCACTGGAACCTGGTATTCACCTGGCCTCCTCCCCTTTTGCTGGCCAGGGTTCTGCCTCAGTGACAGGATGTATGAGGCAGCAGCCCATCTAATCTGACCTAAATGCTGTCACTCTGCTTTTAAAACTCCTGCCTGATACCTCAGTCTTTCCAGGACGAGAGGGGTTTTATCAATGAACCGGTCTCTCCCAGGTGAGTGCATGGCCTTGAGCACTGGAGAAGCCTGAACTGCTGTCAGGACTGGTCTTCACTGGGGAGTGGTAGTGCCCCAAGTGAGCTGACCTTAGGCCCAAATCAAGACACTGGCATCTAGGGAGATGTGAACTGGGCCCCTGGAGACCCAGACAGTCACTTCTTACCAGGCAGGGGGTAGGAGAAGAGGAGCTCACTAATGGTCACATGTGCTGGTCCATCTTACTCCCCAAGAACATGACTACCTGGAGGAGCTCAATCCACCAGCACCCTTCATGGCATCAGAGACCTCAGTGAAATCACTGCTGCTTGTTCCCTGGCAGGGGAAGGAGACATTTAAAAACACAGCAACAGACACTCAGGCTAGTTTCCCAATTTGCCATCACCATTCCAAGCCAGACAACGAATAATTGTTCACATGCAGCAGAGTAACTCCTTAAAAACTGGATGGAGCGATCTTTCCTAAGCTACTTGGTTTGAGCTCAAGTTGAGCATGGGCTGAGCCACTGCACTTTCAGATTATATAGATATTGTCGAAGACTCCCCCCGCCAGGAGGCTCTCATAGATGGCAGCAGGGATCAAAGAAGAAGAAAAGATCCTTGAGTGGCTGCTGACCATTTGCATTGCCCAGACTTGGGAACTGAAGCTGTATTGGATCTTAAGACCTCAGCCAAGGAGTTGGCCTCCCTTGGATTGGTGGGCAGTCTCTCCAATAAACATAACTTTGTACAGCCAAGAGACTGGGTTCCCTCAACTCCCCCCCAGCCTCACAAGACATCTTATGTCACCACTCCCCCCTTGATATCCACAGTGACACCCCTTTTGAAGTTCGAATAACTACAAATGGTTGCTGGTCTCTAATACCTGCCCCAACCAGTGGAGGCCAATGTGGCTGAGGCCCACCCAGCAAAATAACCTAGAACTTGAAAGTGAAATGGTGTTCCTTCCACCCCCAAACGAGGATAGCAAACAAGCTAAATGAAAGCCCCACCAGAAACTCCAGATGGAGGCTGCAAAGATGACAGCTTCCAACACATGCTTTTAATTACCAGTGATGCAGTGAAAGCTCTGGGAGCAAAGCCTTTCCATTTCCACCACCGAGCTGAACCTAGAAGCTTCCTGTCTACGCTGGACCTCTCCAAGGTGGGTCTTTCTGGGCCAGCACACATTCCAGCAGCAAGGGCCTATTCTGGAGTTGCATGCCTTTCAAAAGGCACCATACCCAGAGAGCTTAACTGGGCTGCCAAATCACAATACAGAACCAATCCACAGCTACTTCCCCTGCCCTCAAAGTGGAAGGCAAAGCTGCCCTGACATCCACCCGCCAACCCAGACCTATCCCAGAGCCTGCCTGTGGGCACCTGCCTGCCCATGTGTCTGCACATGGGATCGTCTATCTGTAGGTCGGTCTGAAGAGTGTGCATACGTGAGCACGCACACACATACACAAAACCGTGCACAGAGCGATCCATCTGTCTCTGCGTGCCGGCTGTCAGAAATGAAAGTACAATCTCCTGGAACCGAGTCCTAGCATTCTAAAAATGTGCCGTTTTCCCAGACTGAGGAAACTTGTAGGGGTGGGGTGTGTTTCACTGCAAGTCTCAAAGGCCTGGGCCTGTCATCTCAGTCTCACCGGCCAGACCCAAGCAGCAAGGCTGGAATTCCAACCTGCAGCCAGCAGGCTGCCTCCAGGGCTCCTAACTGCCCACTCCCCTTCCTCCAGGAAAGGGAGGGGCCAGCCTTGGAGTCACCCCGGTATTTAGGAGGGGGCATGCCTTTGAGCACACCCCCACTTCCACCTCAGAGGCACCACATTTTCACATTTGGCTGCTTTTTCTTTCCCTTCTTCCCTTGCCAAGAGAATCAAGCCCTGGCTCCCGCTCCCGACCTTCCTCCCACCCTAAACTGAGCCCCATTCATTAAGCCTGCTCTCAGCCAAGGCAGGACAGGAAGGGAAACAGCACACAGGGCCTGTGAAAGAGACACTCAGGTTATTTCAAGGGGGAGGAGAACTCAAATCCTACTGGGTGCTTTTCACTGCTCCCCACCTTGACGCCCACTTGTCCCCATTCCTGGAAACCAGTTCCCACCCCCTAGCCTCTGCTAACCCCTTCCCCTACCACATGCCCAGCCCTGCCTGTCCCTGCCCTGCCCCATTCAGCAGCCACTACAGCCCCACCGGCCTCGGCCTGGCGGCCTCTGCAAGGCAGACACACCCAGGCCACCCCGCCATGGAAAGATCAACTTCTTGGAAAAGAGGAGGTTTGGGCTTTCTCCATTTGCACCCCTCTACCCTGCACCCAGCCAGTAAAGCCACCTTTTAGAGGCATTCTCGCTACAAAGGGGGTAGCTGTGAGGTTTTCTCCATGCCCATCCCCACCCTTGACACCCCCAGACCCTAGTATCAACCCAAAAGCCAGTTTCTTCAATTTCCCCAAGGCACATTATTAATAACTGCTCCAACTCTGAACAGAAAGAGCTCAAACTTTGAAGCCTTGGGAATTAGTAAATTAAGAGCTAAAATTCAAAACAAATGCTCTTTCATGTGGAGCCCCCACTTTTTTCTTTTTGCAGTTGTGTCAAACCACACAATCCCTTCAGAGGCAGCCACTCCTTCCTAGCAGCTCCTCATTAATTTAAATGGTTGCAATTACCTTGGGGAGTGGGGGGACTAGTTAATAATTGTTTTACCCCTGGTTTCTTCCTAGGACTGGAAAAGCTTTTGGAACACAAAGCCCACCCGTCTCAGAAGGGGCTGCCTGGGGCACACTGTTTAGCTCTCAGGGCCGGGGAAGGAGGCGCCCCGCTCAGCCTGGTGTCGTCATTTCCTCCAGCAGAGGAGACAGACAAGATGTTATCAATAAGACAAACCTTCCGAAAAGCCCCCTTTCAAAAGCTACCACTTCCCTTGCTTATTTCATGTGGTTCAGAGAGGCTAGGGCTCCTCCCTGCACATTCAGGATTTAAAGAATAAAACCATCTAACAACATCCTGAGTGTGTTATTTTGCCCAGACCCTTTCCTCTCCGAGGCCTTCTTTCTTTCAGGAACTCTCTCAGCCTTGGAAAGCAGAAGAGCTGGAGTTCACCTGCTGCTTCCTGTTCTGCCTCCCCCTGGCCCTGGTCCCCTCCCATCGTCATGCCCAAAGCCCCCTCCCCACAGGGCTCCCTTTTTTCTGCCCAGTTCTCATTAGGAGCTTTGAGTAAACAATGCCCTCTGTCTCAGATAACAGGCAGAGTATACACTGCACTGAAATAAAAACAAACAAGGGTCTCCCTTATGACATTCTCAACAAGCTCAATTCCTAGAGAGGAGAGCCTGGGAGGGAACTGTTCTAGATGAACACGGCCAGATGGACGCATGGAGGCAATGCTTGACCATCAGAGGTCACCTCAGAAAAGTGGGTGCACAAGACAGTTTTACAGCTTCATTCTGAGCTGCCATAATCCTACCCCAATATCCCAAAGGCAAGCAATGACAAATGCCTGGAACGCTGCTGCAGTTTTTCCCCACCAGGTTACTTTCCCTCTTTAGGTAGCTCTTAGAAACTCCAGGGATGGCATACTGGGGATGGGAAAACCAGATGGAAACAGGATGTCTTTTGAAAAAAATGGAAATGCCTCCTACTTACACTGCTAATGAGTTTGCCCAGGTTTATCACTCCCTTCTCAGGTCCCCCAGGGCCAGTGATTCTCAGACTACCCAATGCCCCACATCCGATCCCATAACCCTCCAGTACTGGCATTGCAGGCCTGCTCACACCCTTGGATCCCGAGAAAAACCTTCCTTGCTGGGTAGCAGTGGAGTGCCTATTGCCTACAATGCCTCTACCCTGTTGCTCCCGTTCTGCCGCCATGCATTACAGAATCCTGCACCAAGCTGGCATGAGAATTAGGACTTACAGAGAAGCATCAAGGGCATCTACGCTTAACTCCTATCCTACCTCTGAGATCTGTTTCCAACAAGTTCCCCCCACGATGGATCCCTTCCCTCCAAGGCACCCAAAGCACCAAGGGCAAGTACAAAATGAGCTCAAGCCTATGAACTATGAACCACCTAAGTCACCAAGTGGAAGCCCCTTGAGCGAGGAGCCACTTAAGTGTGAAACACAGCACACCACCAGTCCTCGCTGGCCCCCACTTTAGCATCTATGGAGCAGGCCCAGTGTCCCAATGTGTACGGGTCTGCAGAGTGATGAGCTGAAAGGCCCCCCACAGTCACCACAGATGCAGCCAGTTTAAAGCACATACTAGTGAGAATTAATTCCAGACCAGTTGGGGTGGCAGAAAGCCACCCCCATTCCTCTGGTCTCCAGTAATTTCAAAGGTCTTAGAATTGCCAGGAAATAAGAGAAAACATCTCACCTGAAAGCCCCCCAGGGGCCAGATAATTCGTTCCCCCTGTTTCAGCGGAGGAAGGCACAGCATCTGGACAGTCTGCTGTGGGTTTGAAAAGAGGAGAGAAATAAATAAATACACAAATAAATAAATAAAAACACCCAGATTCATTTTTAAGTACATTCTAAACAGCATTAAAGAGAAACCACACATTCCAAGCAGCTGACTCCCAGCCACGATGCTGATTATTAATGGTCTGCTCAGGCTTCACTGCCCATTGTAAGACAACCACAGCTCCTTGTCACCCGTCTGGGCTCCCGGCGGCCAGTTAATCATTAGTCAAGTCAGGCTGGATCACAGACTGGCTGGAATTTCTTTTTATTGCAAGTCCTCCATTGAGGAAACCAGGTAGTTCCCAAGGTCAATGGAGGCCCAGGTTCTGCCCTCTCCATCCTGGCTGCTTTCTCCCTGCCATCTTTCCCAGAGAAAAATCTAGGGCAAAGCCTCCTTGCCTGGATCCAGTGTCCTCTCTGCCACTGCCACAGACCAGTGCTTCTCCCTCATCTTTTTATACACAGACTTTCCAGTTCTTTAGGACTTTTTTCCAGACTGGCATTGGGCTGAAGGGACTTCTTTTCCCTTTTTTACAGGAGGTATATAGTAAGGACAGCAAAGCCTCCATACCTCAAGTACAACTCAATGAATCTGATGCACGTATACACCTGTGTAAAGCCACCACCAGATCAGGACAGAGGGCATTTCCGGCAAGGCTCCCAGCTGTAGGGGAAATGTTCCCCTCTCCCTCCTTCCAGGCCTAGTCCAAACTCCCCATTTCTGGGATGCTCCCAGGCAACCCCAGAGCTGCAAGGCTCTTGCCCTCAGTTCCTTTAAAATTGTCCTGGCACCAGCACTTGGGAGTTTTTACTTATGTTTTACCTTCAAACCCTGTCCGCCCTATGAGCTTCTCTTCAACATCTCTGTCATCCTCAGGTGCTGGGCACAGTGACCTAAATGTTAACGAGGATGATGACAATCCTAGCTAACACACAGACAGACTTGACAGTTTTCCTCCAAGCAATTAAAACAAAAAATAATGCCAACGAACCACAACAAATTAGTCTCATGAAACAAAAATACATAAGACCCTATAAGCTTATCATGCACCACTGCTGATGCCAAACTTACTGAAATCCATAGAGAAAGGCCAGCTCAGGAGAGGTGCTTCCTAGCACCACAGCAAACAGACCAGGTGGGGTGGCCCAAGTTCCAGCCCCCCGACCCCAGCCCACTAGCAGGATGGCCTTGGGGTGTGATTCCGTTTCCCAGTGTGGAGCCACCTGGCTGCACCAGCAAATACCAAGCCAAATGAACAGGGCAGACCAGAGGCAGGCAGCCCATGGGAGCCCTTTAGGAGCCCAGCACCCATCTCCATTCCCTGATAAAGGGAGGTAGAGGGCTGTGTCTGGCCTACTCATAGCCCCAAATCACCTCTAGGTTTCTGCTGCCTGCCCCCCTCAATTCAGATTCTCTCTAATCCAGAGTCCCTCCCTTTGTCAAATTCTCTGGCATTCTCTCCCCAGTTGGAAGAACTTTCCAAGAATTCTCCTAAACAGGGGAGAGGGAAGTGGAGGAGTGGCAGCAGTGGGCAGGGGAGACAGTGAGACTGCGTGTGATCTTGTTTTATCAGGGTAAAGTGTAATTCCTAACAGGAATATACAGTTTTACAGGATACACTTAATCAAACGGAAAACAATAGGGGGAGGCAGGAAATGGAGTTACTTGTTAAATGGTGTGTGTATACCCTGCACTTTCTAAACTACTTTGATGGCCTTCACCATGTTCTAGAGATAGGCTTCTACCTACCTGCAAACGGAAGACACCCCCATATTGGACGTGATGATTTATCCATGCCCACTGCCTCCCCCGACCCCAGACTTGGCTGGTGTGTTTCAAAGAGCCAGCATCTCAGGGCAGACCTGGGACCACATTCAGGGTGTCAGCCTGTCTCAGATCAAAGGTAAGCCAGCTCGGCACTGGCAACCACAGGCGTTTTTATGAAATGGTGCTCTGCCCTTCTGTAGTACCTTTGATCTCAGGAGGGACTTACAAGCATTAATTAGGCCTTCCTACCACCCCTGTGAAGTAGCAGAGTATACTATGTAACAGCACCCAGGTAAACTGAGGCGTCACTGACTAGCCCAAGGGGCCACCCAGTGAGCTGTGCAGTACTCAGGAGTTCAGCACGTATCCCGCGGTGCTCCCTCCCCAGGCAGGCCCCAGAGTCCTAACTCTCCTCCCTTCAGGGCCTTGGGCTAAGAGTCTTCAGCATCCACACTGGCCTCAAGCTACTGCCAGGCTTGGAAGGTCAACAGGCTACACCTCCATCCTTCACCCACAAAAAAGTTCCACAAAGGTAGATCGCTGACATCAGGATCTCAGCTTCTGCCTGTGTTACCTGCTCCCCAGAGCCGGGCTGGCGCATACTCAGAAGCTCTAGGCCATTCTTGGCTCTCATCCATCACAAAACATAATCAAGAACCCAGTAAGTGCTAAGTTCTGTGGGAAAAAAAGACTCATTCCCTCTCCCAGCAGACACAGACACAAGCCTGGTGATAAGCTGTTTAGAGGGGCACAAGGGTAAGGAGCTGGGGATCGCACTTCTTGAATCAAGAGAACGGTTCCCAGAGAGCCAGGATATTCTTGTCAACTGAGTTCTGAGCTTCCCAAGTACCGCTGGGGAAAGAGGAGCTCCCCCGCCCCCACCCCGCAGCTACACGCAAAATGTCCCAGTCCACAACCCAGACGAACACTGGTTGCAGTATGATCCATTGCATTGCAAACATCACGGTTTTTAGGCAACCACATCATCAGGCCTGTAGAATGAATGACTGAACCAATAAACGGGCGAATGAATGAATCATCCAATCTTAACTCTTTGATCATCTGGACTTAAAAAGAACACTTGGGAAGCCGAATGGTGTGAGTTAAAAGGTAAAGGGAGGGCCAGATCCCAGACTTGTCAACTAGCCTTTGGAGGCTTGGTCTGGGTACCCAGCTGAAGTTAATTAGAGTGTACCCTAGCAACACACACCCCTCAAGCCATTCTTCAAACCTTTCAGACCATCAGATACAGAGGGCACAGAGAGCATAGCCCACATAGCAATCCCCGGATTCCCCACTCCATAAACTGAGATCAGTTTCAAACCCCATGTTCTTATTCCTTGGGCAACTGGGGGACGTCTTCCTGACTTCTGATAGCCACAAGTCACAGCCACCTTGACCCTAGGTTCAGTCATATCTAACTCCTCCCCAGAAGATCCTGCTGGTTTGGGGTCACCCAGCCCGCAGGTCTAAGAAGGTTAGGTCCACCACAAAGGCTACTCTGGAATGGCTTGAATCACAGCAAAATGGAAGTTCCTTGAATTCCTCCAAATGCTGCAGGTTTATCAGGCCCTGGCCCCCATCCCACCATCTCCTCCCAGGCTGTAGACTTCAGAGAAGAGATTCCCTTATTTGTGCAACTGGTTAAGATTATAACAGTTGTCCATTGTGAAACTTTATGCTTGATTCTCACCTAGTAACCCAAGACCAAAAATTCAACCTAGGGCTTAAAAACTTAAGAATGTAAGAGGCTCATCTGAATTCCCCAGCCAAATCTCTCCTCCATGTACAAGATGAGGATAAAAACCTGGGGCAGCGTCCCATCTCTGTGTCTGACCTCCCCACCCCTAGCAACCAGCAAATTCGGCCCTGGACCTGTCCGTGGCCCCTCGGCTCCTAGATCTAGCTGCTCTCCACCAAGGCAGGACAGCTCCATCCATGGGGCTGCACCTATGACCACTTCAAGTCCTCAGACAGCAGCGCCTTTTTCTATTCCTTTTTTTCTTGCTTTGTTTCAAACAAAACGTTTTGGGTGAGTAGCCAGCTGTTTGAGTTTCCGACTGGAAGGTTAATCACTTCCTATTGGCTGATCTGGAGAATTTTTCTCCCCCTTGGAAATGGCACATTCCTGTCTTTGTGGCTTCTGTATTTACACACATTTTGCTACCTAATGTCAACGCTTGCTAATGAAAAAATGTATCACTCCACTCACTGAAAGTGAGGTCCCGGCTTGGTAGAATGACTGCTTAAAATCGGTGAACAGATTTATCCCAGTATCTTTGCAGGAAACCCAAGAGACTGTGACCCTTCTTTTCTGTGATTTTAGGAGGTTTCTGGGAACATTTACCCCTAGGGGTCTTTATTATCCCTGGGGCCAAGGCAACTGGTATCCCTGGGGCCAAGGCGACTGGTCTCTGTCCTTCTCTCTCTTTTAAGGAGAACCTCCAAATTTTAAACTGTGGAAGGAAAAACAAAAACAGGACAGGGATGGCCCCTTGGAGAACTAACCTCATGAAAAAATTCTTAAGTCTCCATGCCAAAAAAAACCAGTCAAGTTACAGTCTGAAAAAACAGGCCTTGGTAATTTCAGTTAACATTTGTTACAAATACAGAGAGCTGGTTATCTCCTCATTAATGACCATTTATCTGGTGTTTTGTAAATCGAAAGCAAAATATCACATGCTTTGCAGGCCTCTTATTAGACAGGCACCAGGCAAGCAGCCACGCCTTCCCGAATTGAGGGAGCGGTGAAGTCCCAGGAGGACTGGCTGCTGCCGGAGCATGGGCTTCGGTTACACCGGTTCATTAAAGTATTTAATTTATGGCAACGCCCCAGCAAAAGTTTTAATTAGTTGGGGGAAAGAACCAACAGCCAAAATTCATGAGGTGGAAGGACTTGTAGAATTCCAAGAGCGAAATGGGGCCCAACCCTTTGCTGCTTCTCCCAGAACATGGGCAAAATAAAAACGTCACGAGCAGTGTATTTTTCAGGCACCAGCACACAGACCTGAACAGTTACAATCCATACTTTTCAGCTCATGAACGTCCCACTTTACAAGAGGCTCCAGGCACAGGGATCCATCCCCATTGCCACCCCCAAGTCCCACTTTTACTGCTCCCCATCCCCTGGCACTGTTAGCTCCAGAGGGTGAGCCCCTGCACTGCCAGTCTTCAGAAGCTGGATGTAGGCAACTGCAACAGGACTGCCAGTCTCAATGGGCTTTGCTCTGGCCCCATGCCACCCTGTGACAAGGCAACAGGCAAGCAGAGCTGAAAACTTTCACAGCCCCTAACAAGAATCCCGAGAAAGCCTGTGAGGGTGCTGTTGTTTTTGCTCTTAGATTTCCTAATTTCTTACTCCAAACCAAGATCTTCTCTGCACCTTTTTAAACTGCCCTCCCTCCCATCGGATTATCCGTTCTTCCCACTGATTCCTCTGCACTCACAAAGTCTCCAAAGTTTCCCATCAATCTGTCCTATTTGGCTCCCAAGACACTTATGTGTGATCAAATTCCACGTGTTAAAGCTGAGCCAGCTTCGGCCAGGGAGTACAAATACATGAAAAAGAAACAAAATGTAAAGCGTTCTTAGGAGATGTCTGAAAAAGTGTGTGTGTATATCCAGCCACAAAACAGAAACGGAAAAATCCATCAAATTTCCAACAGAAGAAACCCATAAGCACCTCGGAGCAAGCCCAAAGCCTCCCCCAAGCCACTGCCTAGACATAAAAATCCGCATTCTAGAGTCTCCATTTCTTGGGGAGGATATTTTTAAAATCATCTACTCACCAGTTGGTTTGAGAAAATCCATTGGGTATCTGGAGTAAGGAGGAGGGGGAGACTCTGGAATAAAAAAGTAAGAGAAAATAAAGGCCGAGCCATGAGAAAGAGAGATAGAAACTTATGATAACAGAGGCATTCTTTTAGCCCAACTGTTTGTCTTAGCTGTGGGGATTGGAGGCAGGGCCGCGAGGCGGTGATTGCCTTGATATTTAGCTGTCAGATAAACAAAAGAGGCCGCCTGGCGCCAGCCTCGGCGCTCCGCTCCTCCACGTCTGCAGCCGCCGCCGCCGCCGCCGCCGCCGCGCTCCGCCAGCCCGGCTGGAAACTACCCGCTCGGCCGCAGCTCGGCCGGGACCGCTCAGGTCACAGTCCACAGGGCTGGCAGCGACAAACCCCCCTCCCAATCCTCGAACTTCAGACCCCGCTCCCCCTCCCGGGGGGCGCAATGCACCTCAGCCCCCCGCCACCCTGCTCGGAACACCCGGCTCCCATCTCCCAGCCCACCCGGGAACTCGGGAGATCTGTGGGGGCCCAAGGTGCATCCCCCGCGCTGCACACATAGGAAGAAGAGGGTAGCTGGGAGGCTAATGAGAAATGAGGCTGGGTTTCTGCTGAGAAGCCTAGGCCCCAGCGCAGTAAGGGGCAGCAACGTCACAGAGGTGCTGGGGGCAGACCGCCCGATAGCCAATTCTGTGCTTCCCCGAGCTGGAAGAAAGGAGAAAGTAGGGGACACCCAACTTCTCCTGACTGCCTGTTCTTTTCCACCCTAGGCTGGCAGAGTTGAAAGGAGATGTACAGTTCCGCGTCCCATTCTAACCCTCTTTGCCCCAAAACCTCAAAGCTTCGCGACCAGAGCAATATTCAACCCACTACTGCCAAACATGACTATTTATTTACTAAAGGAGCACAGACTTTCCAGCCTTCCTTGGCGGGCTTGGGGCGATTCCAACTCGGCCACACACCTCAACGCCTTTCCGGGTGCAGGGGAGGCGTGACCCCAACTTCCCTCTGCACCCCCTAGCTGATCCGGAAATGAGGGCGTCTAATTTTTAACCGCATTTCTCCAGAGCTTGTTCATGAGCGGTTCCCATAGCCGCACCTCCGGACAACAAAGGAGAAAAAACTGGAAGGGGACCCCCCAGGGAATGCCCTTCCAGGCTCCCCTCGTCCCTTCTCTACTTTTGTCTCCCAAATCTTCTCCCAGAAGGATATGTATACACACTCCCACCCCTTCGCACCCCCGCACCACCGAGAAGTGGCTGCACACAGATAGCCCCGCGGGGGACTTTCTCGAGCCACTTGAGCGCCAGGGGGAGGAGAGGGTGGGCGCAGACCAACTTCTTACCTAGTTCGCAGAGTCGGCTAAGGTGATGGGGGTTGCAGCACACCAGCTCGGGGTTGATCTTCCCGTAAGATTCACAGCAACACAGCCTCTTGACTTCCGAGGAATGCCTGAGATCCGGCCACCTGAACACTTTGCACAGCAGGAGTGGGAGCGAGTAGGATGAGGGTGGCTGCGCGGGCTGCGAGCCGGCTGGCGTCCCCAGGCCCAGCCTGCAGTCCAGGCGGCCGGGCAACAAGAGGCACGCGGTACGCGTACCGCCGCGGGACTCCACAGCCTGGAGCAGCAGCTCCAGCTGCCGTTCCTTCAGTTTCTTGAGCACCGAGTGCGTAAGCGCCTTCAGATCCGCTTCGGCGCCCCCGGCCGCGCCGGCGCCCGCGGCTGGGGGGTGGGGGTGGTGGTGACCTTTGGCACCTCGGGCCGCCTTGCCCAGGCAGCAGCCGGCCCTGCCCGCACCGCCGCCACCGGCCCCATGCGCCCGGCCGTCGGTCGCCCCCTCTCCCCGCAGCTCGCCTCCTCCTCCGCCTCCCCCCGCACCCTCCTCCTCGTCCTCGCCGCCGGGCGCACGGCTCCTCCAGAGACGCCGGACGAGCGCAGATCGTTTGGTCCTGAACATGCGGGGCGAGGAGGCGAGGAGAAAAGTCGTTTGCCGGCTAAGGAGCGAACATGACCTCCGCACACCATGAAGAAGTCGGGCGCCGAGTTGGGGCAGCAGGCGCAGGCGACAGCAGCAGGGGCCCGGGCAGGAGCGGCGGCGGCCCGAGGGGCGCTCCGTGGCATGCGCCAGTCTCCCGGAGGCCGGGGCGCGCGCGGGGGCCCGGGGGCGCCCGCCGGGGCTCGGGGGCCTGCGCTGTGGCTGCCCCACCCCGCGCGGCCCGCGCCTTGCGCGGCTCTCGGGCCCCGGCGCACCCCGGAGGACCGCGGCGGCCGCTTCCCTGGGGTCGGCGAAGCCTGCCCCGGTCGGCGCCTCCCCGAAAAGAGGCCCCCCCGCAGCGGCTCCCGAGTGTCGGGCTCGCCAGCCTCGGCTTCCTACATGGAAGATACACTGGGGCAAAAAACGAAAGGCGTTCGGCTGGGCTGTTGGAGGGAGGAAAAAACCTTTCCCCCTTGCTAAACAACTTAATTTGGGGGTGGGGAGAAGCAGGCAATTAAAAAAAAAAGCAGGCACGCGATTAATTTTTTTCCTCTATATCCTTAGTAACCGGATCTCCTCGAATTCCGTGCACACGAAGACTCGGGGGAGGGGGCCGAGTGGACTTCACCCCGCATGAGATGTCTGGCGAAATAAGGAGGGGCTCTCAAAATCTAAAAATCAAATATGCAAAGACCCAAATGAAAAACAGCACCTTCCTCGCACCCGGGAGGTCTGGGGGCGTCCGACTGGAGCTGGGGTTTAAAAAAAAGAAAATGTTTACTAAGTAGAAGAAGACATCTGAGGGGTGGAAAAAACGTATCCACGAGTTACATCCCCCTTTTTCCCTTGCAGTGTCCCGCTGGTCTTCCTCTCCTTTTCTTCTGCCAAAAAATAAAAGAAAAATCGTATTTTTTTTAATCCACAGATAGCTCTGGCTAGGCTGCTTCAGTCCTCCGCATTTTAGAGGAGTATCTGGTCTTTCCTCCTGCCGTCCCGGGGGCCCCGATCGTCGGCGGGGACTTCCTGGGGGCTGGTGGGGGCGCGAGCACAGAAGATGCTGCTGCGGCGGCTGCGCCCGGTGGGGCTGACAGCGCGGGGGAGGGCGGCGCGGCGGCGGCGGGCCCCTGGCGAGTCGCGCGCTCTCGCCCTCCTGGGCGCAAGCTGCACACTAGTGCGGGGGCCGCCGGCGCCCCCTCCCTTAGTCGCGGTTGGCAGCCGGGGCTCCGCGTATGGGATGCCCTTCCCGACCCGACTGCGGCGGCAGGGAGGCCCCGGTGTCCTCAAGCCGCTTTCTCCTCCGAGACTCTCCTCGTCGCGCCCGGGAGCCTCCTTGTCCCCCGTTCGCCCTCTCCTGGCGCTCGGGTTTTTCTGCCGCCGCCTGGGGCTCGCCACGCCGCACTCAGGGGCTTCGGGGCCGGACGCTAGGCAGCTCGGCGCCGGCGGGATGGCTCTGTCTCAGGCAGCTCTCTACCGCGCGGCGAGCGGACCGAGCACGGCGCCCGGCTGGCTCAGCTGGCACGGCTCGAAGACGGGCTCCTCGGTGCGCGGCGACAGCGAGCTAGTGCGCCCGGGGCTCGCCGCCTCCCGCAAGGCCTCCC